TAATCCTGACAGCCCACTGATGACAACAGCCATCTCATCACGGCTCCTACACTGGAACTGCTCGCTTGCTAATGTGATGGAGTGCTACTTACAATTTACAGATGCTGCTTTGATAAAAATGTAATTATCCTTAAAAAAAAAATAAAGACACAAGTTTATGAAGAATGATTCAGGCTTAGTAAGGGGTTAGCAGGGTATTAAATGAGTAGTTGCTATGGTCTGTCTGCATTTAATAGGAGGGGTTCAGTCACGTGATCATGATGAGGCACGAATTTCAGGTGGAGGGCAGGAAGTGAGGACAAACACAACAAACACGGCTCTGGAGAATACAGATATGGAGAAGAGTTCTTATTGTAAGGATTTAGAGCCAGTAACAAGGCAAAGGTACGAGCAGTTAGTTGACAGATATATTGGACGTGACCCTGTCTGAAGAAAATGAGGGAATTTTCGACCGAAGTAAAAGATTTGACGACAATCGAGGCAGTGGATATAACGAACTACCTTGTTCTCCAGACATCGTTCTACACTCCAAACAACAGATGAAGGCGTACAAAAGTATGGAAGCATGTAACCTTTTTTGTCAGTGGATGGGTCATCAACCTTGGTGCAAAACACCTACGTGATGATTATTGTTTGGTTTGCACCAGGGTGAGTGTTTCTCTTATTTTATGTGTATAGATCGTTATGGAAAAAACCTATCGGCAGTGACCTATCTATCCCAACTATTTAATGTCAACAAACGCTGTTAGCTGTTAGTTGTTAATGATTCGTTTATGTTTAGGTAAACCACAAAAAACTATTTATCCTTGTCGAAGTGGTCACTGCAGACACAAGCATTTACGGATTCTGCTTCTCCTGACCGCAAACATAGGTTTGTAATTCACTTTTTACGGCGTTGTTCTGTCAGCTTTTCCCATTTCTGACCTTTGTGGACGACTATCTTCGGTACTCTAAAAAAATCGCTTTTCCTTCTCTCAGTTAGAACGATTGGCACAGCCGTAAACTACACAAACACATCGGTATTTTCCAGACAAAGACGCAACAGCTTCCTCCAGTCAGTTCACTTCCTGCCCTCCATCTGATTTCTCGCGCTGACAATCGTAGCCCTGTGACGTCACGTGAAACCCAGCTATTATACGTTATTTTGGACAATAATTAGGATGTGCACATTAGCATGCTAGTTGCCGTAAGCTTTACCATGATGACAAACTCTCTGCTGCTCTCTGAGAGTTGAGAAAAGCGCTTATAAACTCATTGTGGTGAATAATTCTAATGCTCGGGATCGATAAGGTAAGGACTTCTGCAAACCGTTTTAAAGGAAGTAGCTCTGTTTTTCACGGTTTTAAGACAATAAAAATCAAGTACCGCAAGCCTACGTCACCCATGCTTCCACATGACAATTCTCCATAAATCTACAAAAACATGATACAAAACTGTGCGCAACTTGACAAACCTGATGCGATGTGCTGTCAAATACAAAAGTGAAAGTGTCCAAAACAATAAAAAGTAAATACATGATGTCTTAGCAGTGAAAACCCCATAGAAATCAAATACCCCCGCTTTAATGTCAGGGTGCAGGAATCCTAATTCACACTACGAGTGAGGGGTTTCCTTGTGCCGCCGAGAGGAAAATGTTGTCTATTTCACAAAGTAATCAGATGGTGCCAAAGGTGACTGAGAGATAGAAGGTTAAGGTAACACACACACACACAAACATAGTGGCCTATCTGTCCAATGAAATAGAGTCGCTGACACAGTAGAAAGGAGCTAAAATGGCCTAAGAAATAAAGCCTAGTGATTCCATAAACACTCGTTGCAAAAATAAGCACGCAGAACCTTAGATCGAGATTAAAGGGCCTATATTAAGTTATGGGCTCTATTCTCACTTACGTCACAAAACCGGAAGACGTTGGGAAACAAGCGGATGAAGACTTCCTTTGAGCTCTGTTGGCAATAGTACAGGGTATCCTCAGGTTTGACTACCCCAAAATTAAGACTTTTTAAAGACCTTTTTAAGACTGTTTAAATGAAAATTAAGACCATGTGGGCGAAAAAAACACAAGCTCCAGTTCCAAACAACTACAGTACAATATCTAGAATCTAAGAGCCAACGTGGATTAAACCTGCACTTCCCCATGACCCATCCAACGTCTTCCTCCACTCTACTGATTGTTTACTCATTGCCACCGGTGCCAGAAACCAAAGTATTGTTTGCACATACTCCAAATTAGACGTTCATTCACCTTGAGCAATTTCACGTTGTTGTTTTTTTTTTTCCCCTCCCTCCATTTAACGTTGCACTGCAAACCAGTTGAATAAACAAAAAATAGGCTAATGAAATTTAAGACCTTTGTGAAAAAAATAAGACTTGGATAACATAATTTAAGACTTTTTAAGACTTTTAAGACCCCACGGCTTCCCTGTAGTAACTTTGACAAATTCTGGGAAAACCAAGAAAATGCACATGTTTTCTTCATTTAGATTGTCATTGTTTTCTTTTATAAATTACCTATTCATTTGTGTATTTGTGTAAAAAAAAATGTCACTGTAGCATTCTGTTATGTTTGGCAGATCAGTGTTAGGTAACGACACTGGAAGTCATCCGCATGTTTCCAAACGTCTTCCAATAAGCGTGAAAAGAGCCTATCTTCTGATCCAGTTATGATTTTGTTCCCTCGTCAAACCTGGAGTTGTGTTTTGTTTCATTCACACATGTTTAACACAAAACCCTGCATGTTTAGGCTGAGTTCATCTCTCAAACAGAAAACATTCTGTTCCACCTTGTGATATCATGTGGTAATACAGAAAGTGCTCCACTGGGTTTTTAAACTCAGTCCATTTTCACTAGAATCATTTATTTTAGCCCTGGAATTGCCAATTTCTACTGAACCAAAGGTAAAAGGAGCTCTTCACTTGAAAACTACCAACCTTACAACATGAAACAGAGCATTTTGAGCTTTGGAGATACCATACCACATTTTTCAGAATATAAGGCGCACTTAAAACCCTTTTGCCTACTGACCTCAAACCGTTTTTATGTGGTGTGTGTGTTTATGTGCTCAAAAATCTGTCAAAATGTTTTAGTAAGACTTTTGTAAGCTACGAAGCCGCACCGTTTGATGGATTGTCGGTGCATTATGGGTGCCATAGTCAGGAGCCTCGCGGAGTAATACACATTCAATACAACTCCGGGCGAGTTATGTCATGGTCTGCCGATGGATCATGGACGCCTGGGCTAAGGATCAATCTCAAGTGTCGTCCGAGCTTTCACAAAGGCCCAAATCATCACTGAACAGAGAAGTAACAGCGACGAGACTGACTCGGACGAGAGGGATCCTTGCTTGATGCCGAATGTTAAACTCAGACACTGAAGATAAAGAATTTGATGGATTTGTGGAAGAGGACTGAAATGAAAAAGTGAGTGTATTGTTTTGTATTTTATGTGTTACAACTGAACAATGTTGAGAGTTTTTGTGAATGTATTGAATAAAGTTTGACTGTTTTGTTTCGCTTAATGCGCCTCATAATCCGGTGCATTCAATTATGTATTAAAATAGATGAGAAAATTCAACATTATTGATACTGCGCCTTATAATTCAGTGCACCTTATAGTCCAAAAAATACACTAGACAAACTAATAATAAAGGATTACTCAAACATGTGTGAAAAAATATGAAAAATAAAAAAACTCCAGGTCTGTTTTTGAGGAAATAACAACATTATAACATGGCATGAAGCTCGCAATTTTGTATTCTAGTCATCAGCACTTTAAATCCTTTGGAAACAGTTAAGGGGACCGATTATGCAGCTGAAACAATTGAGGTTAACTTAGCCTGGCCGACAAAGCCCTCTTCTCTCATACTGCAACGTGAAGTGATTGTAGATTCAAACTTCAGTCGTCAAATTCCATTCAACTTGTATTTACACAGATTAGAATTTCTAAATTTTGAATGAGACCATGAATTTCAAATGCGTTTACTTTGCTGTACGATTTGGAGAAAATCTAAGAAAGAGAAAATTAGAAATTTGCACCAGTAATACAGAAGCGTCACAAATTTTAAATGAAAATTTCAATTATTGGGATTTCTTACCATTTGCGTTGGCAAGTTGGGAAGAAGTACTTCAGAATTTTGTTACTAGTGTTTGTCCAATAGGATTCAGATGTAGTTTGACAATTATCAACTTTAAAGATCAACGTTCCGAAAGTAATTACAATGTCCAAGCTAAGTACAAACAAACCTGGAAGATTTTTGAAGATTTTGATTTTAAAAAATATATAATAAATAAATAAAGTGGGACTAAACACCTTAACTCCGCCTACAACCGCAGAGAGTGAAAGGGGAGAAGGGGCGGGGTCTGGAGGTAAAAGGAACAGTGTGATTGGTCGAACAGGTATCCACACTTCAGACTCCGCCTTCGCAGGCAAGTGTTTGCGATCGGAAACCACCTGGCTGTAATCGGTCGGGGCAGTCTTGCGTAATGTCATATAGTACTTGAAATTGCTACAGTCACTGAAGGCAGCGTTTCTCTTTTTTGACAAGAAAGAGGCAAATTGACCTAGTTTGCACTGAAATTGCCAAAAATTAGAAACAAAGATAATGCTATGCGCACTGTTTAGTTACAAAAAAGGCAGATTTAGTGTTTAGTTCCACTTTAAATAAAAAACTTAAAATAAAATGTTGAAGATTGCTTCTATGGGATTCTTCTTTTTTCCATCTGCTGAACCTTGTCATCACGTCATGCATTTTTTCCTCTATGTGAAGTTATTGCTTTAAAATTCCAACCATGAAACAGGGACAGATCTTCTTCCGAATGTTATAAGAATCCGAACACTCGACAAAAAGGCTCGATTTGCATTTCTCCTGCCTGACTGCGCTGGTCAGCCTCCGAGAACAAAGGCCTATCATCCTTCACAGGCAGCAGGTTGGGAGTATAGCCCTAACAACCCTGTGGTAGAGTATCAAATGTCCGCTGGTGCACCCCCTCCTGGTAGCTCAGTGCTAGGAGGAGCTTTTGCTTTTGGATTTGTGTTCTTTATGTTCCGTATGTTCTTTATGTTCTTTGTGTTCTTTATGTTCCTTGTGATCTTTGTGTTCTTTGTGTTCTTTGTGATCTTTGTGATCTTTGTGATCTTTATGTTCTTTCAATTCTTTGTCCTTTTTGCCGTTTTGGAGAACCGGAGAGTCACTGGAGGTCTTGGGCGTTTTCCGTGGCGGGCTTTGCTCAGCGACGTCGTGGAGTGAGGGTTCTCTGTACATCGCCACTGCAAAGATAAATAAGAATAATTAGTCTTACATAGTGCTTTTCAAAACAGTCCAATTTGCTTTAACATTTTGCACATTATCCCTTTGCTCCAAACTTCATGAGGGTTTAGGAACTATTGCCCTGGGGCAGAATGATGGAAACGAGGCTGACAATGTACCAAGGTACCAATGTACCAATGTGTATTTTTCACATTATAAGTCGCACTTTTTTTCATGGTTTGGGTGTTTCCTGCAACTTATACTCCGGTGCAACTTATATTTTAAAATGTTCACAGTGAAGCCTCGAGAGGCTCTAGTCTTGTGTGTGAGTATCTGCTGCTCCTGTTCCTCCTGTACCAGTCACTTCACTCTACTGCACATGTCTCCTGCAGAAAGAGCCTCTGTCCTGTCTGTATCATGTCAGTTGATTGCAACATTACTTCTGCACCGATGAAGGTTTAACATTTAAATATAAACTTACAAAGATGACTGAGAAGACTGAACACAAATGCCCCCGTGAAATCTGCAGCTGAAAATAGTAATCAAGCAGCAGAAAGAAAGTTTGGAGTGAGCAAGAAACTTGCACCAGGAGGATGCACCATGGAACTTTCCTGAAGTCACTGGATGGATGGACAAAGTCTGGACTTCAGTGACACTGAATCCATCCTGTCGGGATTCAGAAAGGCCCGAATAATTCTAACTGGAACTGATGCTGAGTCTGACAACAGCGACACAGAAAAGGAAGCAGCGCTCCGTTTACCTCCGGAGGTCGAGGCCGAGTTTCTCAGAAGTGACACCGAGGATGAAGAATTGAATGGATTTAGTGATTTGGAGTGAGATGGAGAGGTTGGTAAACTTGTTCTGTTCTGTTGTTTATGTTATAGTTTATCTGAAGAACTGTTCATATGTGATGTTAACAATCTGTTGTTCTCTCTTCTATTGTTATTACTAGAACTTGACTTTCAACAGGAAATGTTGGTTCCTGGTCTCTGATTTTATAAAATAAATTTCCCTCAAAAAGTGTGACTTATAGTCCGGTATGACTTATATAATTATGTTTTTTCTCTTCTTCATTTAACTTTTTCTTGGCTGGTGCAACTTTTACTCCAAAGCAACATTTAGTCTGAAAAATACGCTACATCATTGACCCCTCCGAGTATGATCAATCACTCACTCACATACAACACTCATTCAAGGTGGGTGAAGTGTCTTGCCGATGGACACAACAGCAGTATACACAAAAATCACTGCTTCCCGACTGTGGTATCTAGTGTTCCCAGCAGTGATGGCAGAAACACTGTGAATGAGTCTTTTGTGGGCTTAAAGAACAGTACAGCATTTCTACCTGGGACGCAACAATCCTGAAAAAATTCAAAATGCATTCTCTCCTAGAACATTTTACAGAGGGATTGTGAAACCAGCATGAATGGAAATAAATAACTAAACCCCAGGTAAGTTTTTGATGAGGGAAAAAAAAAAGTTATAGCATGGTTAAAAGCTCAAAATCAATTTTGCATAATGTATGTCTTTTTAAATTAGAGCGTTACTTAGTGAGTACGTGAATTAAGTAGTATTTATCTTGATTAGAGTGTATTTTTATGCCACGTTGTTGACTATAATTTGGTCAAAGTATCCTCAAATCCAGATTAACACTTCTTATTTCAAGCACTTAGAATCTTATTTATGTCTTTATTATTGTCCTTAGTATTGTTACTGATTATGACAAAGAAGAAGAAACTGTTAAGTCGTGACTCAACACATTCACCTTGTTGTCTTGACACAAACTTGACTTGTGTTGGTTCATTGTAATAGTGTTGAACTGTAGTTTGAAGGGCACTGCAGCCTGTAGTTAAGTGTGAACACAGCGCTGGGCTCAGTTGATGAATGAGCTTATGTAGCCAAAAGAAAAGGAGAAAATGTAATATAATATACACTGTAGCTCCTTTCCCATTTATAACAGCATACATCACTTCAAAGCTATTACACTACAACTTTTGCCAAACATTCCATTCTTTTTGCCTGTATGTTCTTTAAATACATTTAGCTTTTTTTTTTTAGACCAACTTAAAACATTTTTACAGTGTTTGCTAATGTGTGCATTGTGAAACACATGCAGGACCTTATATCTATATGAGATGCATATCGTGATAATATTGTACTGTGAGATTTGGATAATCACTTGCGCTACCTTCGATGAGTTTGGGCAGGAAGTGCGCTGCTCCCTTGGTCTTCTTGACGCGGTTGCCCTTCATGACCTGGCCGTCGCGGTTGATGCCGATGTACCAGGCCCTGCCCGACTGCGTCTGCCGGTACAGGATGGATGAGTAGGTCACGTAGTAGTTCTCAAACACACACTCCTTGAACTTGCACTCGGGCGTGAAGTGCTCCTGCAAGACACACAAGAAAATGGAACAAATCTCTGGTTAAAACCTGGAAGGTGACAGGTTATCCCGATGAAGGTGAAAAGTACATTTTACTGAGCACATGGGACAATGTTCTGTTTGGTTGTTTTGCTTACTGTCAGGGCTGTTACATTCAACACTAGAAAAGCACTCAGAGAGCGCAGACCTCTGCCAAGGACTACCCCCATTTTTTATATAAATTGCGATAAAATCAGTCTTCTGGATCAGATCCAGATCAGCCTTTGGAATATGAAAGAGGATCCCATTGTCCATCCCTGGGTCAAATTTCATGGGGTTTGGTCAATAATTAACCGAGATATTGAGAAACAAAATTTTTGGCCCCATTTACCACAATGTTAACTAAAATTTCAAAGTGATCCAGAATCCAGGATTTCTTCCGGATCACCCCCAAAATGAAATCAGTTCTTCCTTTTCACATTTCCAACAAATCCTGCAAATTTCATCAAAATCGGTCCATAACTTTTTGAGTTATGTTGCTAACAGACAAACAAACAAACAAACAAACAAACAAACAGACAAACAGACAAACGCTGGCAAAAACATAACCTCCTTGGCGGAGGTAATAAAGCACTCTTTTTGTCCAGTTGGTCAACCAACAGCCATACAGCTTAATGGTACAACACCTGCCTCAGGCACTAGTGGTTCAGACCTGTCCCTTACCTCAGCAGCCATCTATATTCTACATTCTGTTTGAATCCAGAAGTTTCTGGAATCTTACCATAGAGCTTAAAAAACCTCAACCGCTATTTTAGCATCTGTGTCTCAAATGTGGAAAACATCTCTTGAAAATCCTTGTATCATTCAGAACAACATATATAACTTATTTTACCTGAGACAAATAAGAGTTTGGTGTTTTAGTTGTTGATTCCACAGAAAACATTGTAGCATTGTAGTTTGAGCAAAAGCCAAAAAATGAGACATCCAAATAAATGAAAACAAACGTGGCAACATGGATCGACGTACTTCAGCCTACTCTCGCAAAAATGGCCAATGACTATGCTGTTTTCGAAAATTCATCTTGTTCCTCCCTTGTGAAGCTTTGACAAATCAGATTAAAATATTCATCATAACTTTCCACCTTTTTGTGACCACTTTCAGATAGAATCATTCAAGATTGCTGCACATCTCAATCTCGTGTTTCAGGTATCCTTAAAAAGTCTCTAAGATCTACAATTACATGTTGAAAATCCCATTCTATTGTATAACATGTGTTTTTATAACCACTGTGGTATCGGAATCCATAATGTGTATCGAAATCAAGCTTGAAATTTTAGTATCGTGACAGCACTACCATACTGTGGAACATTCCCGGCAAAAGTGCATCTTTCAGTGTATTGCCCAGAGACACAATGCCAGTATAGCTCAGTTTGGCTTCGAACTTGCAACCATCTGAAAATAACCCCCGTAAACAAGATATCCAAGATTGACAGATATATCACAGGAGATAGCTGCATAAAAAACACATTTTAGTACCAAACCTTTGGAGAAGCAGCAATTTTTTTCTTGCATACTCTCTCCAGTTTGCTCCGCCTCAGCTGTGCCAAAATGGACCCCACAATTCACCGTGACAGGGTTACACCGAGGACCACCCCTGTGAGCAAACTCAATGCACCCACAACCGCCAACTCTATCACACGCGTCAACAGTTAGCTCGCCCCAACGCCATAACTCTTCAGCGTGCGGTTTACCTGTTACCAACTACTCCAGAGCGGACTATCCTTCACCCGCCTACCTCCATCACTTAACCGACCCTACTGCACAGCGTGTTTACCCCTCTGCCTCTCCTCCTCTCCTCTCCACTCCTCCGCTCCATCTCATATTCCCGCTCCATCCCTTCGTCATTTGGTAACCTTGCCGGGGAACAAACCAATTTGCAGGATTGATTTGGAGCCTTGATGTGACGAGTGAGCACAAAAGGCCTGAATAAGGACTTTGCTCCCTCTTCTCCCTCCTAACTCCTAACCCATGTCTCCTACGCTCCTTGATTCTAGTCACCAGGTTGTAGCCTTGAAAGGTGGCAAAAGAAAGCAAACACGATGAAGTGTCAAGCTCTTAAAAAGTGCAACAACATGTTAGTGTAGAGGGTCATGCTTAATGTGGACTTTTGCTTTTAACTATGCTGTAATTTTCCCTCATGAAAACATTATACTTTTGTCTGCTGGTTAAAATAGTTATAAAATAATTGAAGAATAAGAATTGTTACAGTTGATTTTTTTTTTTTTTTTCTTTCTGAATCTAGTTGCTGGTTATATTATGTTTCCAAATGAAAACTGTGGTGCTAATTTGTGCCTGGACCCACATTATGCTAATATTATTTTGTAAAGACCACTTAGGTCCTCACAGCTTTTTGATTCTCTCATCTGGAGTGAAACCTTTATTAATATCATGTATGTGTATGCTCCTTGTATGTGTTATTATTAAGTGGACTGTGTATAAACTGTTGGTTGTGCCCTCTCCAGGTGGGCAGGGTATTTCACTGGAGAGGGGAGGCACACGAGCACCCGTAGACTGCGACGTCTCACGCCAACTTGGACACATGCCAGGAGCTGTCCAGGGCATGGAGCTAACACTGTGGATTATATCGCCCTTTTTTTTTTTTTTTCATGAATTCCTTTTTTTTTTAAAAATAAATTAATCATTGCATTTATATAGTGCCTTTCAAGATACCCAAAGTCCTTCACAGGTCATTCTTCATTCACTCGATGGTCAAACTACTACTGTAGCCTCAGCTGCCCTGGGGCAGACTGACGGAAGTGAAGCTGCCAATCTGCACCATCGGCCCCTCTGACCAACACCATCACACACACACACACACACCACTTTCATACTAGGCAATGTAGGGTGAAATGTCTTGCCTAAAGACACAACAACAGTTTTTGCAACTGGAGCCCCCCCTGTAGCTCCTGGAATTCCAAGTGGTCTCCCATCCAAGTCCTGACCAGACCCAGCCCTGCTGAGCTTCTGAGATCTGACTGGATCAGGCTTTGACAAACCAGCATGACCATTTGTGGATGATTGTGTTTTCCATATGTGTTGGATTGTATTTCTCTGCAGGAGCTGTTGGGTTTTGCTAAATTACTGAATGGACAGAAACTGTAGAAGCACAGGTATCGTGAGTAGCACTACAAGCACTCTACTTACTCACTTAAGACTTGCTGTGCAGTGTGTGAAAACTTTTTGGGACAAGTAAAAGGGGGTTACAACTGTGGTGAATGTGGTGGATGATATACGAACTGCTCATTGTTTTTTGTTTTTTTTTCTCATGATTAATGTTTGGGTTTGGGTTTTGGGGTGAACTGGGTGCGCTCGAGCGTGGGGAGGTTTTTACTGTGGCCATACTTGCATTTATATCTTTCAATGCCAATAAAATCTGAAAAGGTCGAAAGTACTTCATTTTGGATGTCACTATTTCACCTGCGCTGATGTGAGTAGATCCTCCCATGACCTTAAATTTACTTTTTCTACCTCCACAATCAGTGAATTATTACAATTTCCTCATAAAAATCGAACTTTTGTTTCATTCAAACACATTTAACACACAAATCTTTGCTGTTTTTTTTCTCTCAAACTGAACCTTGTGAAACACCTTGTGATGTCATGTGCTAAGAGGAAGTGCTTCACTTGTGTTTTTAAAACTCCAATACAACTTCACTAAACTCACCCTTATGTAACAGATAATACTCCCTACAACTGTCACTCATGTAACAACAACTCACAACAACTCACCCTCATGTAACAGATAATACTCCCTACAACTGTACAACAACTCACCCTCATGTAACAGATAATACTCCCTACAACTGTACAACAACTCACCCTCATGTAACAGATAAATACTCCCTACAACTGTACAACAACTCACCCTTATGTAACAGATAATACTCCCTACAAACTGTACAACTCACCTTTTATGTAACAGATAATACTCCCTACAACTGTACAACAACTCACCCTTATGTAACAGATAATACTCCCTACAACTGTAACAACAACTCACTCAACTTATGTAACAGATAATACTCCCTACAACTGTACAACAACTCACCCTTATGTAACAGATAATACTCCCTACAACTGTACAACAACTCACCCTTATGTAACAGATAATACTCCCTACAACTGTACAACAACTCACCCTTATGTAACAGATAATACTCCCTACAACTGTACAACAACTCACCCTTATGTAACAGATAATACTCCCTACAACTGTACAACAACTCACCCTTAGTTGTAAGCATGTAATGACTACAAAAATGATCACAATAACATTAACATCCAGATTTGTATCTATGACGTCACAATTTGGGGAAATTTAATAGTTCAAAATGTATAATCCATCATTTTACACTTTGGAGTGTAACGTGTATGGCAGCAGATGGTTGTGCAGTCTATAAATTCATTATGCAGGACTTAATTTAAGACTCTTTATCTTTGTCTCTTTAAGGTCTCCAAGGTCACACAACAAAGTAACAATTTATCCACTAACTCGTCTAATTAAACCGTGATTGAAGTGTCTTTGCGGATTTAAATCTAACCGGATCTCGTTTGTATTAATGACCCCGGGACTCCATACCTTTAGGGTTCTGCTCGATGCTATTAGCGCTAAGTGAGCGGCTGCTAAGTGAACAAATGTGTAATTAAAGAGTTAAGGGAGATACAGTCTGTGTAATGAGCTTGTTTGTTTGTGCTACAGCAGTGGTTTAGACTGTGTACTTATTCAATTAAACACCAATTCTTTTAGTATTGCAGGTTCACTCTTGTTGTTTTGATGCAGGATGGTCCCTGAAAGACCTTCAGTTCAGTTTCTCCTGATATCTTCTCCTACAGCTCTGGAAAAAAATAAGAGACCACTGCAAAATTATCAGTTTCTCTGATTTTATTACTTAATAGATATGTGTTTGAGTAAAGTGAAAAATTTTGTTTAATTTTATAAACTACTGACAACATTTCTGCCAAATTCC